GCTCAACGGATGGGCCCTCAGCTGGCGGAGGCACTCTGGGCCACAGGAGACCCTCGGGCCTCAAGTGGCAGTGATGCATCCGGAACCCCATGTCTGACAGCCCATCCCACTTCTGGATCTGCAGACAATCAGCCCCCCCCCCTTATATTAGGATTCCTCGGAGGAGGGGGAAGGAGAAGGCAGGAAAGCCCAAGGAGATCCCGGGCAGAGGCAGAATTCCCCAGCCCTTACCTTTCGCTCCTCTTGTCAGGCCACCAAGCTGAAGGAGGAGGAGGAGAACCTGCTGAAGCAGCATTGGGAGCTGCAAGCGCTAGAAGCAGAGCGGAAGCTCCAGGAGGAGCATCGGAAGAAGCTGGAGCTTGGGTATGTCATCCCGGCAGGGGCAGCTTCTCTCCAGACGTTCCTGGAGGAGGAGGAGGAGGAGGAGGAGGAGGCAGCATAGAGGTGAAGTGGGAGGGCTGAGTTCTCCGTGAGGCACACTGTCCAGCTGTGGATTTGTCTGCCTGGACGGGGTGCTTCTCAGAGAAGTGCGAGAGCTTGCCTAGGAGGGTGCAGTGAGAACGTGGAAGGGGAGGCTTATCGGTAGAGGGAGCCCCTTCCCCCAGGCCCCTTCTTCCAGATGAGGGGGTTCCGTTATTGAAGCTGTTGCTAGCCTCAAGCTGTGGAGAGAAATGAGGACCCCAGCCAGCTGCGGGCAGTCTTGTGCTCTTCTCATATCCAGGGTGGAGGCTGCGCTTCAGGGGCTTGAACAAACCGAAAGAGCCGGGAAGCTCAAGCACTTCTCAGGCTGCTGGCCCAGATCATTTATGGGGTGGTCTGCCGACTTCTTTCCTGTTCCCATCATCCCCCAGGCGCTTTCTGAAGCATCAGTACCATGCGCAGCTGAGGAGACGGGCCCAGCAGGTCCAGGAAGAGCTGGTAAGCTCGTCCACCGGAGCGCGAGGCAGGCCGTGGTTCCCGAAGCAGCTCCTGAAGTCCAGTTGAGCCTCCCAGTTGCCTGCAGGAGTCATCCCTCCAAAGATCTGGGGACGCGGCGGCCGGAAAGGCCGTTCTTTGCCTGTGCTGCTGCTGGCACAAGCAGCGGTGCGACAAGCCACAACGGCTTCCTGTGCCCTTCTTTGTCTAGGAGAAGGACAGGCAGATCCTCCTGGCCCTGTCCAAGAAGGACAAGGAGCAGCAGCGCCTGCAGTCGGCACGGCGGGAAGAAGCTGTGGCCGCAGCGGCCTGGATGAGGGGGGTCATTGAGCAGCAGCTGCAGCTGGAAAGGGAGCGGGAGGCTGAGCTGGAGACCATCTTCAGGTGAGGGGGTGCCAGTGGGGCGACTCAAGCAAAGGCTGCTGGGAAGAGCTGAAGCTGAGGGGTGCCTGAAAACCAGGATCCTCACCCCCCAGGCAGAAGGCACCCAAGCGCCTTGGGACGTACAGGAGTGCCTTCTTGGCTGCAGAGGACTAGTGGCCATCTGCCCGTCCCCCCTTTTCCTTTCCCCTTCCAGGGAGGAAGCTAAACAGGTGTGGGAGAAGCGAGAGGAGGAGTGGGAGAGGGAGCGGAAGGCCCGGGACAGGCTCATGGCGGAGGTGAGAGCGGGACTTCAGTCGCGGGGCCGCCGTTGTTCCGAAGCGCGAAGGGAGGCCCTGGTGCCCGCTCAGCCTTCCCGCTCTTCTGCCCCAAACAGGTCCTGGCCGAGAGGGCACAGCAGATCCAGGAGAAGATGGAGCGGAACAGGCAGGCCCAGCAGGAGTCCGTGACGTTCCGGGAGCAGCTGATCCAGGAACTCGAAGAGGCCAAGCAGCTGACGCAGCGGGAGCAGGAGGAGGCGGCTCTGCAAAAAACTGCTCGCAGACAGGAGCTGCAAGCCCAGGTAGCGCTTCCTTGCGGAGCAGGGCTCGCTGGAGTCTCCCGGGCTGCTTGGCCAGGGCTGTTTAGGGGTGCCATCCCTACCCAGATCATCTCCTCGTCCTTTAGCTCACGGAGCGGCAGCTGCAGGAGGAGGAGGAGCTGCAGCGCCAACAGGAGGTGGCAGCAGAGGCCCAGCTGCAAGAGCAGCGCAAGGAACAGCTGGAGGAGCTGGAGGCCAGGCGCATGGTGGAAGCTGGCTATCGCAACAAGGTGGGAGCTGCTGGTGAAGGGGACCCCAACCTGGCAGCCCCTAGTGCGGCAGGCCAGACGGCCCCCGAGGGGAGCTTCTCTGGGAGGATGTATCTTGGGGCTCATGGCTGCCGTCCCAGGGTGCAGAGCCCCTCGCTGGTCTGATTCACCAGCGGGAGGGTCTGACCGCTCACGGGTCAGATAAAACTCTTGACCAGCATCTTCCAACTCTCCTCTTTCTAGTGCTACAGCTATCCCAAAACCGCCTGGGCCTAAAGAAGGCAAGAGGGAGAGCCTGCATTCCGGGCCTGGATGGCTGAAAACCTGCTGGCCAGCTGGAGTGCAACCACCCAAGTCTTGATGGTCTACTTTGAGCTGGCAGGGAAGGAGTGGTTCAAAGGAACGGATGTTTCCAGGACAGACGAAGAGGGTGGCGGAATGGGGCGCCCCAGAAGTGGTGTTTCCAGTCACTCAGCCCTCCTTCCTGCCTTCCCCTGAGGGGCAGCCGCTACCTGGCTGCTGTTGCCTCTGCAAAGGAAGGAAGGTGGTGGTGAAGCTGGGCGGGGTGCTTAAAAGGTCAATAAAGTGCTGCTTTTCTTTTTTAATCAATTTCCCTCTGGCCTGGTGCTATGGGGGGAAGGCAGCGAGAGGATTGTTCTACCCATTTTTGTTTAACCCCAAAACAGTATACCACTTGAAAAAAAAAGATAGCTACAATGAAATATCAGCATTCAAAATATTATGGCACTTGTTTTTATACGCGTAAGATTTACATACACACACTAGCAGGATATTATACATATACATACACACACACCCTTCCACAGGAGCCTTCACTTAATTGTGGCTTTAAAATTGGGGTGGGGAGCCTGTCTCTACAGTCACAAAGCAACAGGTGCCCCATTCCCGCAGGGTGTCCTGAGCAAGCCAGACTGTCCTTGGGGGCAGTTGATCGCTGCTCTCTGGCCGCAGGCGAGTCCTGGCCGGGGCAAGCAGCAGACCAGCCATGGGACAGATGCCTCGAGGAAAGGGCAGCCCGCTGGCCTCTTTGCCAGCTGCGCCTGTTGTGGGCGGCTAGAAGGCCCTTGGCTTTGGACAGGAGCTGGGGGGCTAACACCCGCCATACGGGGTGGACTGGAGATGGGTAGAGCACGGGGGTTTCCACGAAGGCCAGTGCAGGGTGCCGCCCTTGGGCTAAGGTGCCCTAGCAATCAAGCAGCCGCAAGGCAACTCAGCTGGACAAACCTTGCAGCCGCCAACAATTCAGCTGCAAAGCTGCCAACTTTTTCTTCTGTTGCAAAAGCAGCTCATTTCCTGTAGTCAGACTTGTCTAAACTGTGAAGCAGCGAAGTGGCAGTTTGGGGGAAGAATCAAAAATCGCTAGCCAGAAATGTTGCTGTGGGCTACGCGGTTTTTTCCAAAGGCTCTAGACAACCTGGCTGCTGCTACTGCCCACCCACTCGGCATGATCCATGCTGCAGTGCACTAACAATGTGCCCCCCGCTCACCTAGGCTGCCTTTCTCTCTGCTTGGCTGTGGAGCTATGCAGGAAATCTGCGCCGCCTAGAAAGGGGAAGGGTGTGGGAGGCTGGGGTTCCTTGCAATGAGGTATCTGCCCTACCTTCAAAAGCCACTGAGCCCAGCGAGACAAGCCAGCTGTGGCAGGCCAAGTGGCTGCCTTTGCTGGAAGCTTCCAGCTCCAACGCACACAGGAGAGTGACCAGCAGGATGCTACTCCCAGCCGTCTGAAACTGCTACCTTCTCCCCCAAAGTCTGTTTTTTGCATTGATTGGCCGTTGTGCCATGGCCACGTGCTTTGTACTTCACACACAGAGGCCTACCGTGCTGTAAGAGATGGGGCTGGCGTGGCACAGAGTGTTTGTGGAAGGGGGGGAGCCAGTAAAACCAGCTCCTTAAACAGCTCCCCCTCCCCGACACACTTCCAACTGGGAGCAGTGGGATTGGCCGGGGGCTCAGCTAGCCACGCCTACCTTCCTCTCTCCCCTGCAGCACGAGTCCCCTCTGGCTGGCCGGGGCCCTGCCCCTGCATGCCAGAAAGACCCTCACATGTCCGTATCAGCAGGGCAGGGAATTCCAAAAAAATGAGAGAAAAGACAGCGGATAGTTTTCCGTAAGGGGGAAGGCACGAGGCCTCCCAGTGCATAGTTATTTCGCAAAGGCACTTTCCAGAGCCTCCAGAAAACCCAGCATGAGGCGCAGCCGCAGGCCTGCCTCACTGTCTGCCTCAACATCGGCCTCGGGAGCCTTGGGAACAACAGGCGTTGCCCCTCAGCTCCAGCGGAGGAGGGGGGCTGCTCCTTCTTCCTTCCAAGTGGAGCCACAAGCGCGTCATGCTTTCGTGGGTGGGGGGCTGGGGTCTCTATGGCACCAGGCAGACCAAGCAGGGACTGGGGTGTCCTTTCGACCATCCCCTGTAACTCAAGAGCCCATGGCGTGTACTACTTAGTGGTTAAAGCGTGCCAAGCAACTGCACGGGATTCCAGGATAGGCACCCTGGATTCTGAGATGCGCATCTGAGTTCACAACGGGTGTTAAGAGTACAGGATTCAAACTTCCCACAACAGCAAAGAAGTACCGTAAGCTGGTGATGTGACGGTTGGCTCAAGACACACTTCCAGCGCGCGCACTCTATGCCGGCAAATACAGAGCACCAAGTAAGGCAGCGGATTATAGTAATCCTGGGAAAAAGTCTTCTTAGAAAAAAACATGCAAAAAATTTAATACTGAGGTTCCTTTAAAAAAATGGTAATGCACCGCTTTAAATATTCCTGTAAAAAAGACCATCCCCTGAAAACCTTAACAGAGTTTCCAAGACGACAGCGAACCCTGTGCCGGAGCCCGCTCAGTTGGCGTTCTCTTTGGTTGTGATGGTGACTAGCTGCTTGGCAGCCTTGGCAATGTCGTAGGCGCACTGGATGACCTGCTGGGTGACCAGCTGGACGTCAGCCGTGGAGCAAGATTCGGGCAGGAGGGCCTTCGCGCACTCGGAATGCAGGCGGAAGGCGCTGGAGGTCAGCAGCCGCAGCGGGGTGCGCACCAGCTCCGATTGCGGCTTCTGGGGAAAGAGCAGGGAGCTGAGTGGTTTTGCTTCTGCCCAGATGGGCCAATGTGGTTGCCAGCCTACAGGCCTGGAAAGGGTAACTTGTGAATGCAGTCAAAGACAAAGATGCCCAGCGGCCTCCTGTCACACGAGGGATGTGATGCCAAGGATTCAGCTGCCAGATGCATCCACCATCAGCCTTCCCCTGCCTTGCACCTCCAGACCCGTGGGGACCAAGGAAGTTTGACTGTTGTGCGAGACCTCCCTGCCCGAGATTCTGGGGTTCTCTGTGGGTGTTGCTTGCTTTACCCCTGATTGTGCGCTCACCTGTCCTCTGACAGTTTTCACAAACTTCAGGGATGTCAGCAGAACTGACACCGACCTTCTGCTCTTGCTGGAGCACCCGTAAATTTACCACAATCTTCCCCTAGATTTTCTCACCTCGTCTCCTGCGCCGGCCTTTGCCCAGAGACCGGGCATTCCACCCCCCAGCCCCCCTTCCCTCTTACCGAAGAAGAGTTACTCACTTTCGGAAAGAGGGCTGCCATCTCAGTGACCGCCAGATGGATCCTCTCCGAGCAGGGAACGTAGCTGCAAGGGGAAGAGAAACCAGGTGGGTCTTCAGAGAAGAAGGTTTCTTTCTCCCAGCCCCACAAAAGGTGAAGTTAGTTGCTCCAGTTAAGACACAGGCTCTGTACCAACAGGCCTTCCTCATCAGCGTAAGGTCTGTTACGAGAAAGGAAGCCACATGGCACTGGCTGAGCACCAGCTTTTGGAGCAAACATTGACTGGGCTTACGGGTTTGCCAGCTGTGGCAAAGGATGATGGGAGCTGAGACCTAATCTGTCTGGAGGGCATTTCACTGAACTAGACCTCATGAAACTTCACTCGGTGCAGGGAAGAGGGACAACAGCGCTTCCTCTTCTACCCAGCGACAGACAAGGGGCTCCGCACACAACCTCAGAACACTCCAGTCCACAAAAGCTGATGCCCTACGGGATTTGTTTCGCTCTAACTCCCTTGGCCTCGGCGCAGCAGGCGGCAAGCCCAGCTACCCTTCTGGAAAACGGTAGCCTGCTCCAAAGAAGGGGTCCTGCACACCCACGCCCCACCCCGAGTCGGTGGGTGGCTCTGCAAGGTCCCACCCCTGCAACAGATAAACGACTGTCGCCTTTGCCTGGGGTTCCTGTGCTGCCCCAAAAAGGCATGGGGAAAACAGTGGGATTAATATTCAGCAATTCCTTAGGAGAGCTCTTGTTTCTAGATTTGTGCTCTTGTGATGTAAACCTCTCCCTTGTTTTACTTGCCACTGCATCATTTCAAGCGAGGTTACACAATCAGAGAGGGACATATCTGCCTGCAAGTGAAGAATGGAAAGGTTGCAAAGGTCCCTGTGAAATCAACCCGCCCTGGAGGGGAAAAGCCGCTGAAATGCAGCCACCAGCAGGTACTCCAGGAGGAAGATCCTGGGTCCTGCTAGCAGCTGAATGCCCCTCTTCACTCCTCTTGCTCACAGTTCAAGGCTACCAAACATCTAGTGCTGCCTTTGGCTCACCTCCCCACCAGGAGGGGCTTCTGCCTCCTGAGAACACCTTCAGAAAGGCGTTAAGGAAAGAACTGGGGGGGCCTCAAATAAATCTCCCGGATGGCCAGCCACGCAGGGGAAGTCACTGCAGGATCCAGTTGTTTTTGTCAAAAGTATGTTTTACCTTTTTTCAGGAGAGCTGACACTTTGTAGTATGCCCTCGGTCTATATAAATTGCCATTTGCAGAGTTCCACCCAGAGGCTGAACTTATCCTGCTTCCAAACCAGGATAATTTGGGTGGCCCAACCCACTAAATTCAAGCCAACCCCATGGAGAGTGTTTGGGGCTTGACGGGGCTTCATCCAAGGGTAAGATTCTGCACCAGGAGGAAAAAGCCTTTTTGGTGGTTTGTGACAGGCCCTCCAGCATTTGGAGCGAAGGTGGCAGAAGCAGCAGGGGGACCGTAAATGTCTTGTGAGAAAGTGCAGGGGCCAAATTGCAGGTCTCTTCCTTTCAGGGGGAGCCTTGGAGTGGCAGCCACTAAAGTAGCCGGCTTCTTTCTGAACCCAGGCCAGGTCCTCTGCGTAAGTGCCACTGCCCCATGCTTGGGTGGGGGCAAGTGGAGAACAAGAGGAAAGACGCTGTGCCTGAGAGACAGGACGGAGGCCAGACGTCCAGGAGGGGGGACCAGACTCTGGGGGGGAGCTGGCTCAGCCCACAGAATCAGGGCCCTGAAACAGCCCCAGGCCGCGCCTGAGTTTGGGTGTGCTCCCTCAGGATGAGGAAAGAAGCTGTGTCTGCGTTAACTCAACCAAAGACTTTCTGCCAGGCAAGCAAAGAAAAACATTTGGCTGCGCCAGGCCCCCAAACTCTCCCAACATGGATGGACGATGGCAGTGGGCACAGGCCACAGGCAGATGTGGCTGGGCTTCTCCACATCTCAAAGAAAAAAGTGCCTGTTGCTGGGGCGTGGACTGAGAGAGGAGAAACTCAACCCCCGCTACGAGAGGCAGACCGCCGGCCACACCCTCCTGCCCTCAAAGTGGGAGTGGCGCTCCGGAGGGGACTGGGCTCCAGTGCCAAGCCCCCAGCATCCCTCACCCTCGCGGCTCACCTCTCGTGCTTGCTCTCCTGAGCCGCCCGCAGCAGCTCCTGGATGTTCTTGGTGATCTGCTCTGTCTTCCGAATCACGTCCTCCGTGCTGGGGAAGCTGGCGCTGGGGTGGGCCTCGGGGTCCTTGCCCTCTGGCCCGGGGCCGCTCCGCTGCCTTGCCTTCCTGAGAAGCCTGCCAAAAGGCAGCTGCTGCAGCCCAGACCAGCTCCCTGGGCCCCTCGCTGGACCCCCCCGTCCCCAGAGGGGCTGACCCCTCCTCCCCTTCGCTCAAGCAAGCGTGTAAGGGGGGCAACACAATGAGTGTCCTTCAGGTGCAGCCCAGAAATTACACACCTCCTTGTCCTGGACCCTCAACCGTCGGCACTTACCCCGTCTCGTCCAGCTCCAGAGCGGGGACCGCGTTGTCATAATCCCCCTCTGGCCAGCTGCTCTGCTTTTCCAATCGGGATGCCTGGAGGGAAAAACGAGGGGGGGAAGAGGGAATCCCCCGTTAGCGGAGGAGCCCCAACCAAGCCAGATGCAGCTGAGCGCTCTTTCCCAACCGGCACACCAGCCGCCAGAGTCTCTTCCCCAGGAGGGAAAGGGGCAGCCCGTCCCACCTCCCTGCCGAGCATTCTGATGCCCGCCTGGCTCCCCAGTCCCCATGGTCCTCCCGCCCAGTGGCCAGGTTCTCTGAAGCCCCCTCAAAGGCCCTGAAAAGGGGAGGCAGAGGCTGGGAAACATCAAGGCTGAAGAGAATTGTTGGAGTCTGGACATGCCGCCTCCCTGCCCGACGCTGCAGAGGACCTGGCAGATCAGCCGGCTGGGAAGAGGACGGGAGCCCTTCCTAGAGAAGGGGGGCTCCCCCTCGCTGAGTCTCCTCCTCCCAACCAGGAAAGCCTGGGCAGGGAAAGTGCAGTCCACAGCCACTCCACAAGCCCAGGAAGCTGGGGGAGACAGAGGCCCTCTCCCAAACCCCACGCAGTTTCTGAACCAGGACAGCAGCCAACGAAGATTGAAGATGGCTTCTAGCTTCAGCAAGCCAGGGTGCGGAAGAGCCGAGCGGGAGCTGAGAGTCGCCTCACAAGCCCAAGCTGCGTGGCCTGTTGTTCTGGGGCCAGCCAGGCCGGATTTCAAAGCAGGGGCGTGCATGCGGAGACCCCAGCGGCAGCTCTTCCTGGCCTGCTGAGCGCTGAAGCCTTGCCTCCCCCGTCCTTAAGCTGACTTGCTACCCCCCTTCTCCCCTCTTCACCCTCTCTCTCTAAGGAGTAATACCCCGGAAGGGCACAGGGCACATGCAGAGTGGCTCTCCCCGCAACGGAGTGAAGGCTGCTGATCTGCGTCCACTTTCTTGAGATGGTCACCAACTCCATCCATGAACGATGCTGCTCAGGACATGCCAGGCCTTGCTGAGTCCAAACTGGTCACTCCTGCTTGCAACCAACTGAGGCCTGTGCAGCTCAGCCTGGGGACTCCTGCCTGCTCTCAGCTCTTCAAAAACATTTGGGTCCGAGTGATTTGCCCAGCAGAAGCCAAGAGCTGCATGAGGCACAACCCACTGACCGCCAAGCAAAGGAGCTTCAGGCCGCTGCTGCACAAGAGAACAGGAGGCAAACTGAAAGGCAACAGGGCAACTGCATTACTTACGTGGGGAGGGAAGAGCTGCAGCCGTGGTGTGACGCGTTCCTCGGGATAAGAGGCTTCAGCTAGGGGCAGGTAGGGCTTCTGAGCGGACCCAGTCTCGTACATCGACATGGGCCGGCTGCTGCGCAAGGAAGGGCGCCGAATAGAGGGCACGTCTGTATGCTCAGAGCCGGCCGGAGTTTGGTGGGGGTTTGCGGTGGCCTGCCGTCGAAGGCTCGTGTTTTCGCTCTGCAGGGTCTGAAGCTGGAATGAAGTGCGGAATCGTCCCACATTTGCTTTCTTTTGCTTCTAAAGACGGCCATATTAAGGCCTCAGAACCAAAGAGAGGGGAGACTTGGGGGCCACGTTTCAAGTGCAGGGCAGGGCAGGGCAGGCCCACAAAGACCTCCAAAGAGATCGTGGCTTGAGCAACGTTTTTTAGTGGAGGACACTCGTGCGGAACAGTTGAGGGGCAAGCTCCAAGCCAGGAGGGGAAGTGTGGAAATGCCAGTGCCACAGCCGCGGTGGAAGAGGAAATGAGACGAAAGCTACTGGCAAAAGCAAGACTCAGAGGCACAAGGAAGCCAACGCACCATCCGTTTCCTACAACGTCCTCAAGCAGAAGGACCCAGACTACAGCCTACAGCTTCCACCTGGCAAGAAGGCCCTGCTCTTCCCCGTTAAGTCTGCACGCAAATCATGGAGGTTCAGTATCAGGTGACCTTTTAAAGAGGCAGCTGCCCGCAGCAACTGGCACTGATGCCCTGCCACCAACGCTGCAGGAGGAGACGGAACGATCCTGCAGGGGACTGAGATGCGGAGCCAAGCAATGAACTCAGGCCAGGGTGAGGTCGGGAGCATTTCCTCCCCCTCCGCAAAGCACAGCAGGACCCTATTTTTCAGCGGCGGCCTGCGCTGCTTGGAAGGCTGATTCTTGCTTCGATTTGGAGTTATGCCCTGAGTGGGATCTTGAGAGGGATCGGTTCTTTCACCCTCCTCAAAGCCCTCTCCACACCTCTGAAATATATAAACTAACATACTGAAGCACGCTAAGGAGCATTTGCACTCCCTCCGGCAAAATGATGGGGAAAGCCTGCCGGGGGCAGAGAGGAGGGCATCCAATTTCTCAATTGCCTGAAGGGCCCCAAATGTACTTCCTGAAGTTCCCCATCTCAACTGGGACCAGGAAGGTTATGCAGAGGACTACAGCACTTCCCCTTTTTCTGCAGCACAGCAATCTGCGCAGCATTTTACAGCTGCTGGTGGCTCTGCCCTGGCAAGAAAGGGGACCATCTGTTCACGGCCCTGTGCTGTTTGCGAAGCGGTCCAAGAGCTGGATTACAGCTGGGGGGATCTAGGTTTAACTCCCTAGAGGGCCACGTGGCTCCCAGAAATAGAAACCACAACCTGTCAGCTGGAAGAAGAAGGGAGCACAGTAATGCTTTGTTGCTTTCTCAGAAAAGGGAAGGGAGTAACGTGCCAAAGAGGCAGACGGTTGAGAAGGAAGAGGAAGAGGAGGAGAAGGAGGAGGAGGAGGAGGAGGAGGAGGAGCAGAGAGAATGCTCACGGGACACTGATGGCACATGAAATAAGGACTCAGATCTTCCAGTTCCAAGCCAAATCTCTCACCCAGCCCCTAAACGTCAACCTCAAACCTCAGACTTCTTGCAACCGGAGGATGTGCGATACTTCACTCCCTATCATCCCCAGCCTGCAGAGCTCACGACTGGTGGTGGGAGCTCAACATCAGCCTGCCTGGAGGCATCGGGGAAAACGCTGCCCTACACACACCATCCTTTTCACTGCACCAGAACCCTGATTATTCTGCTCAACCGGCCTGTTGCCGAACAGGCACAACCCTGCAGGGCAGGCAGGGTTTGGAATGCAGGGCTACCTTCTTCTGCATGGTCCTCAGCTCATCGTTCAAGTTGACGTTCACCTTCAAAAGCTGCTGGATTTTCGCCTCCGAAGCCACCAGGGCGTTTTTCACCTGCAGGTATTCCTGGGCAGTGATGGGGCCGTCAGACAAGTCGGAGTCCAGGCTCTGCAAAACGCCCACGCCGCTTTTACACATTCGCGCTCCTTCTCTCGCACCCAACCACCTGCCCAGAGGAACGTGCCCCAAATACAAAGAAAGCTTTCAAAGATGCTAGACAGTGTTCAGTTCAGCACGACTCAGAGAACCTTTACTATAACACAAGGAAGACGGCTGCAACTCAGAATCCCGGAGGCAGCGTCCGTCTGCTCCAGGGACAGACCATTTCAAGTCCTCTCGAGGACTATGCAGGGCTCTCTCGGGAACAGGGAAGAAGTAGCATAAAGCGCCATCTCTCTATTCTTTGAAATAAAGAGAGGACGCTGAGATTACACTGGTCAGCTCCTTCCAGACTGAGGACTTTGGTGATCTGAAAAGGGCACTGAAGTATCCCAGCTACCTTCTCTAGTTAAAAGGGCGGGGATTCGTTCTGAAAAGCTCTAGCGTCGTAAGGGGAACTCTGCGAACTGAGAGGGAGGCATCCAGACCCGTAACTAAGGGCAGCGCCTAGTGTCTGCCTGCGGATGACGTTGTGGATAGCAGCAGGGCCTCTCCAACCCCTTCCCCAGGCTGCCATGGTCTTCCACCCACCTTCTGCCGAGGGGCCTTCACTGAACACGTTTCCAGATCTCCCTCTTCATCGGAGGCAACGCTGTCGTAGTCGGGCTGGTCAGCCTCATGACTCCCTGGACCATGCTGGCTATTGACTGCCTTCAGGATCAGCTCCACGTTTTCTGGAGTGGGAGAGAGTTCCGTGGAGAGGATGGCAGTGCTGGAAGAGCCTCTCCAAACAGGCTGAGAAAGGGGCAAACCCCAGGGAGGCCTTAGCAAAGGGGGCTTCTTTATACTTTCTCTTGGGGGTACTACTCTTCCCTCAAGGCCCTTTCTGGTTCCTTCACCTCTGCAGAGCGGCTGGTGCCCTTTTCCTTGTCTTCCCTCCCCAAGATGGGCCAATGCTTTGCTGGGCCCCACAAGCCCGCCAAGGGGGGGGGACTTCTTCCCCACCGGCCC